CATCAAAAAAAGTATTATATGAAACAATTTCACAAGATTAAACAATTTCATGAAAAAATTTCATAAGATTAAACAATGAAATCGACAGATGAAGGTGGTTTGCACGGTTTACACAAATGAGAGCGGTTTTCATATGATCACTCCCCTATATATATATATATATATATATATATACTGAAACATTTATTTTTTACAAACTTATATTATTTTTAATGTTTATGTTGAACAAATGAACTTACGATGTCTGAAGGAAGAGCTTAAACAAAGAGATGAGCAGATTGGGCAGTAGCAGTGGATAGAACAGCAATATATAACAGCATGTTGTAGCACAAATGAGACGAATGATGGAGCAGGTCGCTAGATTAATCAGTGCTCCAATCAACTTTACATCATCCTTCCCCAACCCCTTCCTGATTCTTGATTTTAGCCAAGTAATATTGCATTTGCGCCATTGATACGTGTAGACAAAATTAGATAACTGTATTTGTAGTTTTATATTATATCTTTAGTACTTGTGTTTGGATAGATTTATATTACTTGTTTGGATATATTTAGTTTATTCTATATAGGAAAGCACGTATTATTAAATTTATTTATTTTCTGAAATAATTGACATTTTCAACGGATTTTCGACAAAGTTTATGGAAAATCACATGAAAAGTCCGTCGAAAATTCCATGGAAATGATTCCGTCGAAAATCCCTTGAAATCTATTGTCCGGTGAAAATATCTCAAAATCTAGTATCTGTCGAAAATCCCTCAAAATAATTCGTCGGAAAGTGTTGTTGAAAATCACTTGGAATCTTCATGGATTTTTCGACGGGTCTATTCTATCGAAAATTCCATTGAATATTTCTCGGAAACCCACTTTTCGACCAAAGTTTCACCGACAACAAATTCCACCAAAAATTCATGGATAAACAATCTTTTTGACGGATTTTCGACAGAAATTTTCGTCTAAAAAATCTCCCCCATTCTATAATGATATCAATATGAATGTTAAACTGGATAAAAAATATATCATCATGAATATCAAGTTAAAGAGAATAAAATAGTAGGGATTTTGTATAATTTATTTTGCTTCAATATTGATTATATTTTGTCGACTTCTCATTAAAAATAGCAGAAATATATATATATATATATATATATATATATATATATATTTAAAAGATGGTTGTCAATAGCTCTTTAATCACACATGTTATATCATCTCAATCTAACAGTTTGGATATGATATTTGGCTCTTTTTTGAGTTCTTTATGGATCTTTTTTATATACGAGTGTCTGTATGCACACGTATACACACACACACATACACGTGAGTAGAGAGAGATCTAGAGGGAGTCATGTTCATACGATAACATTAATCAAATAGAATAATAAGAAAACAATCAAAACACATATGATTTACGCTAAAATCACATGTAAAAATCACATGTAATTCACGCAACTTAATTTAGGTCGCGGGTCATACGCACCCTTATGTCGATGGTTAATATAAATCACATATGATTTTGGTTGTTTTCACGTTATGCTATTTGATTACTAATGTTATTTGAACATATGTACACACATCACAAACACAATTGCTAAGTTGCAAAATCATTTGATTAGTTGATGGTTATGTTATTTTGTTAGATTAAATAGCATTCATATCGTTTACTTTTTGAAGGATTAATTAAATAGTCATAAGATTAACCTCTACCAAATTCAAGATCACTATCCATGTGGTCTTTAGTGGGACCTTTTCTTTTATGAAGCTTAGGTTCAATTTCTGACTCAATAACTAATACTACCCTCCTAACCTTAATTTCAAACAAATACAATAAAATTGACGGATAAGAGTGGTTTGTACAGTTTGGGTGGTTTGCACACACACACACACACACACACACACATATATATATATATATATGCCTCAAAGAAACAAATACATGAAGTACGTGCTTTAAAACACAACAAACACTTGGTTCGAAATGGTAAATTTCTATCGTTTGTACAATGAAACGGTAGTCAGAAATAGAAAAATATAAGTATCGAAATTTCAAATTTTGAGTTATAACAATTAAATTTGTTTAAGACAGAGCTTAGTATTTATAACTTCAACATCTATGTAAAAATTATTAGAAAATACATAGTAAACGACTGATTCATCCCTCAATTCTTTTCTATCCCTTGTCGACCCTTCCGTAAATAACCCTACCCTCGTCCCACCTGGTTCAAACCTAATGGGAATATAATACACATTTTTTTATAAAAAAAGGAAAAAAAAAACAAATCAATAAAACATAAACGAGAAAACCTCCAATACTCTCTTGGATTTTGATTCATAAAAAACAAACCAGTATTCCTCGTTAAACTTGTTTAAAAGGTCAAAATGTACTTATAACAACTTAAAAGCTATAAAATAGAACACCACTACTTGGATTATGACACATTCATTAAGACTTGATAGATAGTAATGAAAATCTCATCTTTCTTGGGTTCGAATTCTAGCGTTACCAAAGCCCTTGTAGTAATGGAGGTTCATTTGTGATGACTTCAGGCTATTCATAGAATCGTGGTTACCTAGGGATTAGTCGGTGGACTAAGGCAATGTTTGGCAGACTAGATGACTAATAAGCTAGCTAGCTGGTAGCTGATGAACAAATCATGTTTGACAAAAACTAGATTATAAACATGTAAAATGATCAAAAAGATGTATTTTGAAAAGTTAATCAATTACAATATTTCATAGCACAATTAAAAGGAATCTCTAAAAATATAATATGTTGATTAATACCAAAAAGATGATGATAAATAAATAATATGATATATTACTTAACAGAATTTAAAATAGATT